CCACAGAGCAGGGCGATCAGGGGGTTAGGACGCTGCACCCTGTAACACACAGAGGCACAGGGTGATCAGGGGGTTGGGGAGCTCCCCCCTGTCACTCACAGAGTAGGGCCAATAGGAGGGTGGGGCACCGCCCCCTGTCACACACAGAGCAGGGAGATCAGGGGGTTGGGGCACCGCACCCTGTTACACTCCAGGGCAGGGCGGATGGGGAGGTTATGGCTCTATCCCGTCACACACAGAGCAGGGCCCGTGGGGGGGGGGGGGGGAGTTGGGGCGCCGCACCTGTCACCCACAGAGCAGGGCCGATTAGGGGGTTAGGACGCTGCACCCTGTAACACACAGAGCCACAGGGCGATCAGGGGGTTGGGGAGCTCCCCCCTATCAGGCACAGAGCAGGGCCGATCAGGGGGTTGAGGAGCTCCCCCCTGTCATGAACAGAGCAGGGCAGATAGGGAGGTTGTGGCCCCGCCCCCTGTCACACACAGAGCCCCAGGGCGATCAGGGGGTTTGGGCACTGCCCCCTGTCACGCTGATCCCAGTGCCAGGAGGCCTCTCGGCTCCACTGATCCCGGTGCCGGGAGGCATATTACCCTTTTACTATATAGAATAGAGGCCTGGATCAGGGTGGGGGTCCCCACTGGGGTGCCTGGCCAGTCTGGGTGAGGGGCTGAGGGCCGTTTTCAGGCTGGTGGGTGACTGAAGCTCCCAACCGCTCCTTTTTTTCTTTTTTTCTTTTTTATTCTGGGCCAGCTTTAGCTCTGAGGCCTCGGCTGCTGAAAGCCGGTTTCTGGCCTTTGTTTACCTTCTGTATTTGATACAATGTTGCAGTCTGGCTGGCTGAAGCCTGGCTGACTAAAGCTGGTTTCTGGGGTTTTGTTTAGCTTCTATATTTGCAACATAGTTGCTTAGAGTTGCAGCTGAGAGGCCGGCAAGGCAGGCGGGGAACGTTGGAGTCCGCCATCACTGGAGCAAGCAATCCTCCCTGTTCGCTTCAAGCTGCCTGGCTGCTGGCCGCCATCTTGGCTGGCAGTTAATTTGCATATCGCCCTGATTAGCCAATGGGAAGGGTAGCGGCCGTACAGCTAATTACCATGTTTCTCTTTTATTAGATAGGATATGAGTTGGACTGTATAGCTTTTGTGTGTTTTTAATTGCTTGCTTATTCTAGTCTCAACTTTAGTGTGTTCTCTTCCCAAGTTTTTTGGTATCTGAAAGTTGTCCTCTTGGATATGCTGGTTTCCTGAGTAGACCAGAAAGACCAATAGCACACTGCTTGGAATTCTGTCCACTGATTACTTTGAACAAGGAGTGGCATTTTTGCATTTGAAGGCTTGTATAGCAAATTTTAGGTACTCATCCTACTAAGTACCATCAGGACTTTGGCATTTCATGGAAGGTGGGGGGAGAAATAAGTTGATTCAAATTTAGAGAAAACATTTATTAACTATGAGACTGGGTTAGAGAAGTATTTTTGGTCATATTACTTGCATGTGGTATTTCTTGAAGTAATAGGTTTATGTGTTTTTTCTAAATGATATATTTCAGGTGATGTAGCTATTGAGATCTTCATTTGTTTATAATTAATTTAACCAATTATGTAAAACCTATGTATCTGGCCAATTCCTACATATTGGTAGTTGCTCTGAATAAATAAAATCTTATTTAATATTAATTAAACATTTGATAATTAACCATCTAGTAGGGAATTGATTTTATGGCTACTTACGGACTTCTTCATTTCTTTTATTCTGTCAGCAGTTCAGAGAGGAAGATCAGGAATCGCCATTTCTTCTCTTAGACAGCAGTGGAAATTTGACAGTTTCTTTTCTCATTTGCAAACCATCATCAACTTTTTCTTGCTAGAGTATTGCAGGTCAAAATTCTTAAAGATGTACAGAAGCTTTTGTTACTGTTGTGTTCTTTATCATAATTATTAGTATATAAACTGTACATCAAAGGTTTTGTAAATATTAAGGATTTTGCATGTATTTTCTAACAATGCTTAGAATGATTGAAAAAGATGATTTCTTCTATTCTTATAAAATATTTTCATAGTTTTGTCATACATTGCTTTGCATAAAGATGAGAACCATAATTTTATTTTTTAAAATATATTTTTATTGATTTCAGAAAGGAAGGGAGAGGGAGAAAGAAACATAAATGATGTGAGAGAATCATTGATTGGCTGCCTGCTGCACGCCCCCAACTAGGGGTCGAGCCCACAACCCGGGCATGTGCCCTTGACGGGGATTGAACCCGGGACTTTTTTAGTCCACAGGCCAACGCTCTATCCACTGAGCAAAACCAGCTAGGTCAGAACCATTATTTTAATGTAAATTTTTTTTTAATGTTAAAAAGAGCACTTCTATTACAGTAATAACATTTTTAAAACTCCTTTGGGTATTGCTATCTGAGCTTGCAACAGATTTAAATGTCTCCAAATTTCTCAGTGATTTCAGAGCTTTGATCTTTGAGGAGGGTGTATTTGATATTTAGAAATAGCAAAAAGGATATTGGAAGTGATACGCAAAGACTAGGGTGGGTAATTAAGGCAAGTGGAAATAGTCTAGTACAGTGATTTTCAACCTTTTTCATCTTATGACACACACACACACTAATTACTGAAATTCTGCGGCACACCAAAAAATATAT